ACATCATTAGCCGAGTTATATCCGTCAGTTTGCGTGTTTCTATGCAAACTAGTTTTAAATCTATAGCTTTCATAGAAACAATCGGTCAAAAACTTATTGTAAAAAATCATTTATGTTTACCAAGATATTCAAACGAAATTTTCCCAACATGTGTATTATTATGCTTTTCATGTTTAAACCAAAAAGTATAGAGCGCAGACCAATCGAAGATCGAAGTGATTATAATTAATATTTTGACCGCAACTGTAGTCTCTTATAAAGCACACATATCAAGTATATTTAATTTTTTGAAGACCTCTTCCGTTCTCCATCGAAACATATTCAATTATATGTCAATCTTACAAGACAGAGAGTTATTTTGGCGATAGTATTTTAGAGCGGTCCCAACCTGAGTACGGAGTATCACCTAGTCAGGACATTTCCACGAATGCAATATCAATTGCATGCTCTAAAAGGGTTACAGCTTATAGATCATTCTATTCTATTCCACTGTATTATATTTTCATCAGTACTTAATACACTTTTCTACCCCTATCGTTAATATGGTTAGCAAAAGTATGAGATATCAACAATAGTAAGCAGCGTTATGAAAAGTATTCAACCAATTATAAATTATATATAATGGGTCATCAATGGCTGTATTTGTGCCCATCATTTTTTGTCGGCACAAACGGCAATTTGTGCGAACATCAAAGAGACCATGTCGAAGACCACCAAGCCAAATGAATTTTCCACTTTGATGCTGCCGTATCGAGGAACCTCTTTGTAGTTGCTAATCGCACCAGGTGACGGATGCGTCGGCTTGACAGAAAATAATGCCTGGGCGGCGTACACGTGGAAGTGACAAGAGAATAGTTTGGAGGTGTCTCTTTTCATACGCTGTGCATTGTGAGAAAGTAGCAGTTTTTCTCTCTCGTTTTTGCCTGCCTCGATGATTTAGGTTGTGCGCTCATTTTAGGATGTGTGTTGCACCTCCGCTTTCGATGGGCAAAACAAGGCAGTCTTTGATTTGCTTTTCAAATGCCGTCAAATTTAGTTTAGTTGGGATGCAATATAGTTTCTACTCTGTAAGGAGAAGGAGAGGTTTTTTTAAATAACAAGAATACCAAATAATTCTTAATCTCATATTAAAAATGAGAAAGGAGAACTCTTTGTTTATCAATCCGTTAAGTTGAAATCAAGAATTATCGGGATCCATTTTCAGTTTATACGCTGCTAATCCTTTTGCCTCAAATACATACACATACACATTTTTCACATACACATATGTATACATGGATAGATAGATAATTGCCTAGGTGCGAGTGTGCCAATGTCGACAGATGTATCCCATTTGAAACGCTTGATTGGTTTTCTAATAGGATTCATCTTGTGTGCGTTTTACTTTCAAATTGATTCGTTTCACTTCGTTGAGATTCAATTATGGGCTCATCTGCACATATCCACAGCTTCGTCGTGTCGTTTGTTTGATTTGCCAATGTTCCAGGTGTTTGGGCAAGAAATTAAAATTTTTCCGCTACTATGTATAACTGTCAAGTCATTGAATCCTTACTAATAAAGTGTGTGTTTTACATAAAGGGTATGATAGTTAAATAGAAGGAAATTTTTAAAGAAGGATAATAGATGGAGTACAGGTGTAGGTATTCACTTAATCTAGCTCTGTCCCCGTCAACTGTTTATCTTTAAATTTTAACTATAATGTTATAGAATGAAATCATCAATTAAAATTGTAATTAATGATAAAAATAATGAAATTGTTTGAATGTAATTATGGGACATTTATGATATTATATGATCCGATGTTGATGTTTTTTTGGAAACGTTAAAAGCACAAAAATCGCATGGCTAACTTGTTGAACAAAAAACATTTTTGTTACAAAAATTCAGCTGTCGACCGACTGTTCCAATGACAGTTACAAGTAGTCTGATCTTAATGCTTTTTGTTCAAGCATGAATAATATAATAATATATAAATAGTGTAACTTTCGCTTAGATATCTTGTTAAACGTAAAATTTGTTCATACAAGAAATCATCTTTTGATCGATCGCACCTATCATATGATATATGTATGGTCTAGTAGACCAATCTGGCCGGTTCCGACACAGTGCAGGAAAAATATGGATAAATTCTAATTCTCATTAGGATAGCTTAAAAACTGACGGAATAGTTTGCATATAAACAGACGGAGAGACTGAAAAATTATAATACCCTCTGCAGGGGTAGGTTTATTTTTTTTTATCGAAACCCAACTTTGGCAGTCGATATTTGAAAGCATTTTAATAGAGAAAATGTTAGTATATTACACTTTAACTATAATAAATAAAAGTAGAGCTATTAATTGTTGTATGTATTAATTTGTAAATATTTACTTATTGACATCAAAAGGACAATCTTGCCTTAAATCAGTATTTAACAATGTCGATATTTGAAAGCATTTTAATGTGAACATTTTTTTAATTTTAACTATAATAAATAAAAGTAGAGCTATTAATTGTTGCATATATTAATTTGTAAATATTTACTTATTGGCATCAAAAGGACAATCTTGAACCAAATTATCATTTAACAATGGCGTTGATTTGCAATAAAATCATTTAGAAAAGTCCTTGGGAAAAATAGATTAAGAGTTGGCCTTCGAAGTACAATGTCACAATTCGTGCAATTTGTGCAAAATGTCAAGAGTGTACTTAAATTGATTATACGCTAAAATGATTCTATTCGAATTGGATGACAAATTTAGATAGGCGTTTAAATTAAAAATTTCACAGTACATGCACAGATAGTGCTGCATTGCTGCAGTTAGTTCATGACACGAAATTGTACAGTTTATCTTTGGTTACTTTGCGACATCGGACATGAAAGTATAATACAACAATATCGGCTAAGAGTAATTCATCGTCACCCATTTGGAACAAATTGATTTGCTTTTACGGGCGACAAAGTCGTCCAGAAAACATATTGTATAGCATTTTCTTCGGGTACGTGATCTTTGTACCATAATTAAGAATACGAAGGCTCATGCGTTGCAAATTGGAACTTGAAACAAAACATCCCAGTTGGCATTAACATTGCCATTGCCATTGGCATCTCCTTTCAAACCGTGCACAATGGTAACCTGAGCATAAAGGAGCTAAACACTTCGGCCTTTGAGCTGAGCATCTTTGTGTGGGCGATTCCTGTTCGAACATGCAGTCGCTCGATGTTTTTTGGGACTAGACTTTTTGACAGTTACACATTTTATTTCTGAGAAATAAACCTATGTTAAATCAATTGGTTCCAAATCGTTGACATTCAATTGCAATGGCCCGTTTCGTTTCAGCTGTTGAACATCGAACTATTTCGTATTTTACGCTCACATTACCATGAGTTTACTTCAAACATCGATTTTAGAGTTGGTTACGCGTTCATTGAAAGATTTACCGAGAAAATCGCAATTTTCACGATTAGTCTAATTTGCCTTCTTCCCTCAATGGCTTCATTTAAACACTATATCAATATCGACGCACTTGTGCCCTCCTTCCATTGTGTGTGTGTTCCTCGGAGAATAACACACAGACGCGGGGTTATAATCTTTTGAATTGTCAATTGGTATTAAGTATCTATTGGAGATATCTGAGAGTTGTTCGCTGATTGTTTTAAAACATTAAACTTTTAAGTATAACATACCTTTTTAAAAAACACGTATTTTAATGATTGTTTATAAAAAATAACATTACATATCCTTGTAAGAGTCAACTTGCCGACATCTCTTTTTGACTATATAGAATACTTCATATCGTATGTATATGAAATTGTATATCTTGGTAATATATTGTGCAATTGGAAGGCACATAATAGCACGCATATCTGGTGAATTTGGTTTGGATTACTTGGTAGTCAATAAAATTATTGTGATGCCTCAGTGAATTTTTGTCCAAATGTGAAAAGCCTAATAACGCAAGAGTTTATATATTGCCTGATATCAGCTGGCTCCAAAATATGTACTAAATAGCGGCTAGTGATGCTGATCAAGAATATGTATACTTTATGGGGTTCGAGATGTCTCCTTCTTTGCGCCGCCAGCTTAACGACAAAATTATAATATCCTTACCAAGGGCATACAAGTAACAGAAAATTAATCAGTGGTATTCAGAAGTACCCGCGATGCGGGTACATATATTATTCAGATGCTGACAGTCATTTGTACCAATTGTATGTCTTAGAAAGACAGATAAATTCCCAACTTTCATCAAGATGAGAAAAACTAAGAGACTAGTCGGACTTTCAGCCAACTTTCATCAGGATGAGAGTAGTCGAACAGACGGACTGACAAGCATAACCTGATCGATTCGACTAGTGATGCTGATCAATCTTATAGGGTCGGAAATTTCTCCATTTAATGTACACTTAACACCCAATGATTTATTAATGATCATTTGCAAGGGTGTACAAGTACGGTAATCAATAGATATGTCTCTTTGGAATCAAAGTGTTTTAAAATTATAAAAATCTTGTAGTAAGATTCATCACGTTTCTGGTATCTGTAACCAGAATTGCTTTGTCGAGTTATTTTTTAAACTTAAATAAAACTTTTTTCTGAAATATCATTTTCTGCAAAATGTAAAATAAAAAATAATCCTTAATCCGCAACTATGAATATGCATATTTAAGTAGCTATGCACTTAATAATGTGTATGCAATTATCTTGAAGCGGCTACAGCTCATTAATCGGTTTGCCTCAACAGCAATTCATCCTTGTTATTTGTGTACATATACATATAAGTGTATTTATGTATATATATACAACGATCAGTAACGTATTTGAGAGCAAATCCGTTACCCATAAGCAGGTAAATTGTCTTACCTGTTAGAGCCCGAGCTGAGGGTGGATTGGAAATACTCAAAAGTGGTGGTTGCAAGTTGAAACCTAGAAATCGTATAAAAGGCAGCAACAGCAGAGCAGAGGCATCATTATTACTTTAGCTCGTGCAGATCAACAAATTCTACAACTTACTTCAAAATGCTTGGCGAAAACATTCGACGTGAAAATACGGTTGTATTTTCCGAGAAGCGCTCATTCACGGGTGCTGTTGTCAACCTGAAAAAACTCTTCAAGACTGTTAAGCGCATCTTTACTCACTCGAAACCTGCGAACATGGCACCGGCTGAGATCGATGGCGAATCGTCGTTTGCTTCAGAAGAGGACCTTCAAAATTGGCTAAACGAACAACTTGAAGCCAAGGCAATGGCGCTTCACTAATTGGAACCACGAGCTTCACGATCAACCAATTTGGGCAACCTGTGATGTGACTCAGCTTTAAACTTAACATAACTTAACTGTGATAGCGAGATTTCGAGACTGATCCGTAATTTCTTTTAATTGCCTCAAAATCGTGGCTCTTGCAATATATACATTCTAATTTTACTTTACTGTAGATTAAGAATCTGATCATTGTCTTCCATTAGTAGCAAGTAGTTGTCTTCATGCTAGTTTGTTTGAATAAATTAATATTCTGGCAAGCAATCTGTTTTTCTGTTATTTCTTATTCTGCTGGGGTTGGATATATTTGATTTTGATATAGCTGTCAGCACATAAATATATATACATAAATATATTTATGTTTATTATAATATTCTCAAAATTTTTGAGTCTCGTTTGTGTCTTTTATTTCAAAAATTGCGCTAATATTTATAGGGATGCCAACTGAAAGAAAAAAGAAGTGTGTCTGTAAGATGAACCTTGGTCACACTTTTGAAATATCGCCAACTCAGCTGGGGCTCAAAAATAATCGATAAATTGCTCACATCTGCGCTTAAATTTGAAATACTAAACTCCAAAAGGCGATTCTTGTCCAATGTTGCTTAAAAATAAATAAAGTATAAGAAATCTATCAGTGAGCTAGAGTTAGTTTTATAAAACGTTTTGACTTGTCCTAAAAGTATGCTCTCAATTCTATGCCGTATTGAGACTCATTAGCGCCACAGATATTATTGTTCCTCCTACAAATATGCTTTAAAATTGAAGATTTTGAAAGCAAAAACTAAATATTGTTGTCCTAAAAGTATGCCTTAAATTTTTTGCATTATTGAGACTCATTAGCGCCACAGATATTATTGTTCCTCCTACAAATATACTTTAAAATTGAAGATTTTTAAAGCAAAAACTAAATATTTTGTCCTAAAAGTATGCCTTAAATCGTATGCCTTGTTGAGACTCATTAGCGCCACTGATATTATTGTTCACCCTACAAATATGCTTTTAAATTGGAGATTTTGAAAGCAAAACCTAAACTCCTTGTTGACTATCGTTATGAAATAATGCTCAACTTGAATAACACCACAATGGTTTTGTTAAAACGGTTTATTTATTTCAACGCTTATTACTATAAAAATTGCTTTAACAATATACATATATTGAATATAACGATTTATAAGTAATACTTTATATTCAATATATGCTTAAGTGCACTTAGTTTTCTTTATATATGTGTCGGTGTGTGTGTGTGTGGGTGAGTGGTTGTGTGGTTGTGTGGGTGTTCAAGTTCCTGTCCTGTTACCGCATTTCTTGAAAAAGGTGTGACAACAATGAGAGCGCAATTGGAAGATGATTTGTAGTACTTACAAAAACACATGTCGTATTGTATGTAAAAAGTAGTCGGTATGAGAGAGCTTCAGTATTTTCTTGTGTATGCATTCATATTGTATAGTTACAGTATCCACCAGTGGCATTTAAGTCTGTTAATTGTCTTCAGCACAATAAACATATATAAACAAAGGACCAATGCAGCTAGGCAGGCGGCATTAACGGAAGATTCGGGAATGGAAGCCAAGTTTTTGTGCAACGGAACTGCGCATTTGCGAACACACATACTCTTTAAAATAGACTTGTATAATTTGGTTTGAATATGTATGCAAGGATTTATGTTTTGGAAAACGTAAATTTTGTCGGCTTTTGTATACATACACGTACATGTGTTTGTACATCTATATGTTTGCTAAGTTTATCAATCAATTGTGCATTTTTATCTAATATAATAAGTATTTTATGCCAATGTTTTGCTGGCCAATTGATATTGTGTTTTTTCTTTTGTTTTATTTATTTTTTATTAATGCAAGCGAGGCTGCACAATCGACTACTGATAATCGACAGAGTCACTGTCCAGTACCGTCGAAGATACCTGCGAGACTCTGCGTCTCTGCCAATAATCCTGATATCGAGTATCGTATTGTGCAGCTGGGCGCCACGGTGGCCATTTCAGCTATTCCTCAACAATGTCCCACACCATCAGCGAAGCGTCTGTTCCGCCCACAGTGATGAGAGTGTGATCTCCGCACAGGAAGCGCACACAGGCCAACATGCCCGAGTAGACCTTGGACTCGTGGAATTCGGCACGGGGCGAGATGCATGGATATCTGTAAACGATGCAAGATTTATTGGTCTCATCAACTTACTTGTTGCACGTTTTTATTATAGTTACCTAAACAAGCGTAGATAACCCTCGGCATCGCCAGATGCGAGCATATCGTGTGCAGACGACCGACTGCAGGTGGCTATGATGGTGTTGGTGCTACTGTAGTACCGATTGCTCCACTGGCCGGCCACCAAGAAGCCCACCGTACAATTGTTGGTCAACCACTTGACGTCCTTCATGGCAATGGGACTGCGCTCCGGCGACAATGATTTTGCATCCCAGAACAGCAGGTCAAAGTCAATGGTCACTGTCTGCACAAAGTTGCCATCCATGCTCCAGTCCAGATGCGTTAACGGCTGCGAGCCACGTATCTTGTTAACCTTCTTGTACGAGAAGCCATCGCGCGAGACACGGAATAGATAAATGCTTCCGTTTTGCGAGCCCATGGCAATCATGTCGCCAACTGTGATATTGAAAGTGAGAGTGAGAACGTTACTCAGCGGAGCATGAACTCAAAAAAAATATACATCTTCCTTTAGAATATCTAAATCGATATTAACTAAAAATTAACTATACTACAGATAATCTTATTTTATAATTTATGTATGTTTGGCTAATCCTATTGTATGTATTGTAATTTATGAAAGGATTTGTTACCAATTTTAATAATACTAATGTTTAATATTTATATTACTATTTCATCAATATATTGATTTATCTAGCATTAGCAAATATATAAATAAATATCAATAAATAAATAGCTAATATAAAATCAAATTAATTGTATAAAGAAGTAGAAAATATATCAATCATTTTGAAAAATATTGATATAGTTCTTCAAAAAATATTTTAATAAAATCAGGCTTATAGTTCAGAAAAGCCCAAAAAAAGTTGATTTTCGAAATTCTAGAAGTATATAATTTTTCTCGTGTGTAGAACAGACTATAAATTGCATCAGATTGCTCACCCTGATTGTAGGAAACACAATTCAAAGGGGATCCACAAACACGCAGCGTCAACATGACCGCTCCGTTGTCACAGTTGATGACCAGCAAGTGGCCCTCAGTGCTGCCTGCAGCTAAAGCCGTGCCAAACGGATGGAAGGCCAATGCCACGCATTCGTAGCCAGTTTGTATGGTCCAAATGAGTTTGTTCTTGCGCCAGAGAGCGACATGCTTGTCATGGCCAGCCGTCGCATACAGCTCGTCCTCGGGATGGGCGGCCAGGCCCCACAGCTGTCTGCCATGTCCGAAGACGACCTGGGTGAAACGACGCTGCAGCGAACCCTCCAAGATGTTGTTTCGCGTCGTTCCCACATAGATGTTACCATCGTTGCGACCCGGTCGCTGTGGATAGATGGTCCTCACACCACCGGCCGCCTCGGGAAGCTACATACCAAGGCAGGCGATTAAAGCATACATATATTATATGCAAAGATATAATTACAAACAGAATACTTATACCTTTGTGTCCGCAATTTTCTTATAATTTTGCAGTGAGTCCCAGGCAGCAACTTTGCGATCCTTCTCACCGCCAGACAGGAGAGTGCCCTCACCCAGCATAATCAGGCAACCGATGCCTTTGTTGTGGGCCTCGAACTCAGTGCGAACAAAATAAGCGCCATCCGAGTCCACGGAATATATGGTGATAAAGCCATCAGAGTCGGCGGTAATCACGTCGCCATCTGGCTCAAACTGTACGCTGGTAACGTGCGAACGCGACGGCTGCTTGACAATATCTGTGCGCTCAAAGAAGCCATCTTTGCGGCGATGCCAGAACGCTAAATGGCCGCGACCATGGGTGATGATTAGATTATCATCCAGCGGATGAAAGGCGGCCCCAGACAGGCCTTCCTGCAGGGTCTGCAAATGGAAGTGTTTCATATTGAAAATTAAATGGGAAATGGCTGTGATAATATCTATAAAGGATTACTTACTGCCACCTTGCCCAGCAGATGGCCCCACTGCCACTGCCAGACGGACAAAATGCTCTCACGTCCACTGTCCACGGCAAGTATATAACTGCCGCCATTCTAAAATTAGTTTTTATATGTTTAGACACTGACTCAGAGGGTAGTTTTGAGCATATTACCAGTTGGGAGAAAGCCACGGCGGTAACTCCAGTGTCCAACTCGCCCATTCCAAAGACGTAGAGCGTCTGCAATGACTCCGTGCTCCAAATGCGCACATGTGCCTGCGACTTGCGATCCCGTCCAGCCTTCTGACCCGAGGCAACCAATTCCCGTGATGGATGTACGTCCATGCTGTGTTTTAAATTAAAATCAATTCAAATAAAACAATTGGTAAATAAAATCAATGTAAGTAAAAAATTAATTACAAATTGAAATAATAACTTAACCAAATTAATTGCCTTATTTGTTATTGTTATTTGTCATTAATTGGATTTATTTGTGTAAAGGATAATCAATGGAAATGCATTTGTAAAATTTCTATCTAAATGTTTTTTTTAACTCAACCAATTTTATGCTTTAAAGTCCTAACTCAAAGTCCCTTTATAGTTGGTAGAATTTTTTAAACGTATTTTCTTTCCATGGATCATTAAATTTCAACACTTTTAATTTGGAACTTAAAAGTAAACCAATCTTTTTAGGTGTGCAGAGTTTGCAGAATTCGCCACTTACCACATAATGTCCTCTGTGTGACCAATGTAATGACGCTGTGCATCCTCGTCGCGATCGAACAGAACGGCCACAGCTGCCACATAGTAGAGGAGCTCTCCCGTTGGCAGCACCCACAAGTTGCGGCGTGCATCGATGCCTCGATAGCCATGGCTAAAATAACGAGCGTAATAATATTTGAAATGAAAGTAATTCTGTGGTTATTCAATTAGTGCTTACACCCATTGTAGCTGTAGTTTCTTGTCTGGGGGCGAATTCTCTGCCGGCGCATGATGAACTGGGGGATAAAAGGTGCGTCTCAAGCCGCGTATGGTGACTTTTGTGGGCTCCTCTTTCATAATGTCCAGCATGGTGTACTCGCCGTTCGGTCTCAGTATCTCACTCTCCGGTGCATACAGAATACGTGGCCGGCTCTTGCTGCGGGGTCGCGTGCCCCGCAATGGAACTTTTGGTAGCTCTTCTGTGGGCAGGATGGGAGCAGCGGCCACCACCGAGGGACGCGAACGCGAGCGTCGAATTGGCGAACCGGCAATCAATGCGGTGCCCGTGGCCAAATAAAATGTGTCCACATCAGCAAACTCGTTGCGTAGCTGCGAAAAACTCCTTACCTGGAGCGTTGTAAATGTTGTAAATTTGCGATATTTAGTTAGGTTTTTATATTGTTTTGTATTATTTTATGCTAATCAAGTTATTATGTCGAGACGCGATTGATGACGAAAATAGCGAAATGGGAAAAGAGAGAAGCGTTCGCTCTTACCTCCTGCCCGGTGCCTGTGTACATTTTCTTGGCGCCGTTAATTTTTAGCACTTGACCCAAATCCTCGAGCACTTCCTCGAACGGCTGCGAAGTGCGTAAGTTAAGTAAAACGCGACACTTGTAAGCAAAAAGAACGTATGTTTGAATATATATATATATTTATACATATATAGAAAGAGAGAGGAATCGAGTATATAGAAAATTACGTGTTTAGTGTGATAGGGGAAGTGGCAGAGGGAGATTGGATTTATGGGTGTGTAATTAGTTATGACCATAAAATGTGAATTATTGTGCTTTGCAAAATACCCACATATATTGTGTATATGTATTTAGTATATATGGCACACATATATAGCATTGAGTGCGCACGTTGACTTTTCAACACTTGGCCAGCGACAAGAATTTAGCCCTGACACGCAACTTCCGCAACTGCCCCGGCCATGACACTTGAAGTTTGTAACCAAAAGTTGTTGGCAACAAATATTTATAATTACGTGAACTCACCCCATGCTTATTCGTCGTCGTCATATTCATATTTCTATATATGTGGATGGCAACATCCTCATCTGTTTCTCGCTTGCCCCACAAACCGAGGCTGTGACCCACTTTTGTGTTATATTTCCCTGCTTAATGGCATTATTTGTAGTTGCCAGGGGTCGTTGGGCTATTGCAGCATTGTTTGCCAACTACTTTAACTTGTTCTTGCAGTTCTCTCCTGCTATTCTTGTTGTTGTCGTTGTTGTTGTTGTTGTTGCACTTAAGCTTTTGCGCTCATAATTGGATGTACACGCCACATCCTCCCGCACACGCACACACACACACACACAGAGAGAGCACAGCAAGATGAGGGATACGCATTGTTGTATTTGTTGGGCAGACTAGCTGCTTAGCTGTAGCTTTTCAGCTTTTTGTGCTTATGTCAAGTGTGCATCTTGAGTTTTAATGACCTTTAGGCCTTGATAACTGCCATTCACGCGAATCCACTTTGTGCCCCAAAGGAATGGAGAACTACCAGCTCCTGCATCGTTCTGGTGCATTCGCAAAAAAAAAAAATTTAATAAAACAAAAATTAAAGCATCTGGTATAAACTTTGTCCTTGCTACAATTGCGGGCAGTGCAAACTTTAGCATTTTGCTGTGAATTGATTCTAATTTACGTATTTAGTTTGGCGTTCGTCGGCAAAGGCGTCTAATGGTCTAATGGTTTTAGATCCTTGTTGAGTGGTAAACTGCTGTCTGCTCAGTGCTTAATTTTGCTTAGTCTGATTTCAAAACTGGTCGCAGCTTTCCATGGAAAACCTTCAATTTATTCTCCTTCTCAAAAACTTTGGAACTTTCAATTCAAGAACTTTTAGTTAAATAATTGTTGAAGAACTAAAAGTTCACGCTGCTTCAAATGCTAAGAAATACGCACCAAAATTTTTAAATCTACAATTATTCAAACTTTATTCATAATTAATGTTTTGTTGACTAATAATATAAACAAACTTAATCCTTGTTTTTATTATTAATATTACTTTCACTTGGAAAACTCTCTGCATTGAACAAGTCTTATTGGATATTTTTCTCAACTTCTTAGGCCATCAATTTGATTTAGCTGCTATTTTTTATTTTATTTTTTTGCAGAAACAAATCGAAGTGTAGCATTTTGGCCAGCTGGCTTTAATGGTCGTTAGTGGCCCTGAGGGTGCTGCGATTCACTATCAATCACTATTTACAGATCGCTTATCAAATTGAAACACCTGAAGTATTCACATCCGTAGGTTGTACTAAAGGTACTTCAAACTGATGTGATGAGTTCCTTCAACTAATTGAATGGACATTCAAGTGTAACGCATTTACTAATGCAAAGTAAAGTCTGTGTTTTGGATTATTTTGCTGCAGCAAGTGTTACTACAATGTGGAGTTGCAACCTACACACATTTTGTGCTTCAATGCCACTTATTGTTTGCGTATGTGTGTGTGTGTGTGTGTGTGTGGAAGTGTAAGTTCACAATTAACATGGATTTACTGGGAGCTAAGTCGCGCAGCTGCACTCAAGATGGCATTGCCTCGTTTTGAGCATGCTGTACAAACAAATAAATAATTATGCGTGCAAATAATTACATTACGTTGCCAGCTTCAATCACGTGAACCCATACAAATGGCATTTGTTAAGCCAATTACGTGCACTCTGTTAATGAGGGGGGAGCGGGGGAGGGGGGCGGTTGTATGGCGGGGCAGTTGGAACGCGGAAGCTGAAACGAACGGCTGACAGCAAATAGCTGCCGGAAAGAAGGAAGGAAGCAAGTTGCAACATATTTGTCCATTCCCAGATACAGCTCCCAGGCAAACCACATGCACACACACATACATACATAAATACACATACATGAGAGTGTGTGAGTGTCGGGGCAGCATCTGTATGAACATATATTTTAACGCCTTTTAAAGAACTCAATTGTGCACAATGAACTTTATCCAATAACCCTTTCCAGCTGTGGCTCGAATCACCTCGTGACTGATTTTGCTTGAGTGACGTCAAAATCATGCTGCATTTTTTTATAAATACTTTATCCGATTTCTTCCGCTGGATCGAACAAAAGAATTCCAATAAAGTACAGAAGTATCTGCATGAGCTTTTTAAAAAATACAAAAATAAAATAAAAAAAATAAACAAATACAAAATCAAGATAAGCGATTCGGCAGACAGAGGAATCAAATACCCTTGTTGACAAGCTTCTTTGACAACTAAATATGAAACCCATCATAGAATTTATAACAAAAATACCCTTAAAAATAACTGTATAGCTATTTTAAGTTAAGATAGATAATACACATACGATTTTTTCTAGCTTTGACAAAAAATTATTGATATAACTACGAAAATTCAACGAAATATAAGTTGAGATAGATAATACGAGAAAATCTCTTCAAACACGTTATAAGTTTTCCCCTATTAAGGAATATAATATCGTGTTAAAGGTAATAAAGGATAGGCATCACAAAACTCAGCTTTGTTAAATAACACTGGACATAAGACTGTAAATCATATAAGGAAAGTATTAAATAATCGGACTGCATAAGTGTCTTAGGTGCTTTAAATTGTCAGTTGCCTAATATTTAAAACTAAGACCACAAGATGAAAGGTTTTGTGAAAAGGACAGCTGCATGAAGAATGGTTAGATTAAAATACCATTTTTGGCAGCGCATTTTTGGCATGTTGTGGCTTAACTCTTTGTAGTTTTTTGCGTGCTTTTCGGTGCCCAACGTTTTTTATGTTGGCCGTCATTTAACGTTCTTATGTACGATGTCAGGTGCTGCTGCTGCAATTGTTGTTGGTTTGTCTTTGTTGACTGTTCAATACGCCTGCGGAAATCCGGCATGTCCATATGGAAAACTGAACCTGTTTTCCCTTTTAATTTTTTTTGTTGAATATTTTTCCCTTTTCATTTTTTTTCTGAATGTTTGTGCAGACATAATAAATGAAAAGTAAAGTTGATCATACGTCAGCACGAAACTTTTGCAGCAGAACGCCAAACGTTGAAAGAATCAAAATGCAATGCGGCACGTTGCCTGTGGTGCTTTAGGTTGCCAAATATTATTTAGCAGCAAGCAGAAACCAGCAACCGGCAACCAGACTACAAATGCATACTTATACATATACGAACCGCCAACATTGAGTAGCACGCCATTATGCACAGCTATTTATTGTGGCTTTCAGTTGCATTACCACAGAGCCTGGATTAGGGGGGCACGCACATTGGAAACCAGAGGAGAGCCAAGCAAATACTGCCGCAGTGCTAGTCAGAGTAGAGCAGAGCAGAGCAGAGCAGCGCAGCGCAGAGCTGAGCAGCTACTTACATTGTTGTACATACAATTTGAATAGTGGCCAAGTGCGATGGTAATGTAATCAGCGATGGCGCCTTTAATGCACACATCCACATTCACATCCACATGTACGTGTTACGTACAATATTCGTATTCACTGTTCGCTGGTCTGCCAAATATTTGGTAAAAGTTCCTTATTGTGTATGTAGACGACGAGACATGTCCTTGGCCTTGGTCGGCGGCCATTGGGCGCGTGCCATGGAGTTCTAAGGGGAAACAAAGCATCTGCAAGAACAGTAGCCAAATACAAAGTACTACAATTTCCTTTTGTCGTTATTGTTGTTGTTGTTGTTGTTATTGTTCACGTTGTTTGTAAAATTTGCATTGCAAACTGCAAAGAGCGTGCCTCTCTTTCCTTAGCCATGGATACTGTAAAGTGGTCGACTGGTCAAATCTGGTCTTTTTACGTTTCATTGTTGTTACTGTGCCCGGCCGTATCTGCTGGAGCTCAGCGATTGTTGCGTGATCACGCTTCCAGCCGTAGACCAAAAGTGCATTTTATGAATGAGTTTAGTTTAATGCGAATTCGATTCATTCAAGCCTTATTGCTGGGCACGTTGTGAGTCAATTTATCAATGATGGCTGTGAGTCATTACCAGCTAACGAATTCTGGCTGGCCTCGACAAATGGCCTTGGCAAAAAAGATGCATAGCTAACGAAGTCGGACAAGACGCAGAAAACAAGCGTCCATTATAATGTAATGCAAAAAACGTAAATTTTGATTTGGGGTTTGTGGCATACGGTACCATATAGTGCCTCAGACTACGTTTACCAGCAACCATGCAACGTATTTTTATTCAAAAAACCTCACGCGTCTCACAAAGAGCCCAAAGAGCGCTAAAAAATTGAGTTGCACTTAGCAAAATTACCATAAAACATTATTACTGCCTCGGCAGCGGCAACGGCTGAAACCGACACTAACAACACCAACACCAGAACCTTTACACTGAAAAAAAAATGTAAATTGCTTTAGGTTTTGTAACATCAAAGACGATATTTTAATTTAAAACTTGAATCGTACTGGATTCGCCTAGAAAGAGGTACAATATTTATTCGTTTTTTATGAGTGTACCAACACCATTGGCAACCCAACATGGATACTTCCAAACACATAGTGGAAGTTGCATGCCAATTCATATTTTGGGCCATTTCGATTATGAACGTTGCAAAGAGTTCGCCTGCAGCAAGGCGGAGGGACAAAGAGCAGATTTCGCCAGGATTTACACGTGGCTGGCGGGTTGGTGCGCTGCTGGGAGGTGGTCTGCCGTTTTGGATGTCAGCGGAAATAGCCAAATTGGCCGTGGCTTCAATTTGCTGCTGGTGCTGCCATCGCATGCATACAATAAAATACAAATTGCAGACAATTGATTTTCCATATGATTGCTCCAAAAAAAAAAAAAATAAATAAAAAAAATAGGGAAAGGTTAATTGCACTTTGCTTGGTTTGTACGCCCACAGCCCCTTTGAATGTCAAAGTGAAATGCAGCTATTGACCTTTGCACCCCCAATTCTCGGCAATTCGCTTCAAATGCGAAACAAGCGTAAATTGTTCTCATCAAAAATTACTTAGAGTGCATCATTGCAGCTGGGCATATTTAAACAGCGATTTAAAATAAATGTGCGGTTATTTAAATAAAACTCATCCTATGCTGCGAGCATGAATACCCTTACATACATTATTATGATTTATGCTCTATATAATAAAAAAAAAGAGAAAAAAAAATATCGTTAGTTTGTTGAGGACATCTTGAAAATCAAAACTGTTATGTACGCAACCACACTAATTTCAATTGATTTAATTTTAAGCATATTAATTAAATAAATCGCATATTGACTACGCAAATATATCTACAGATCGATAATTTTTAACTGTGGACAGGCCATCATAATTATTATACTTTTCGTGAGGGTAAAATTACAGGTAAAATTAATTGATGCACAGATTAAAAATAAATAAATAACTGACCTTTAAATATTTAATAAACACAAACATTAATTTTCATGTATAAAAATAAATAAATGTAAATACGAATTGTACGCCTAGGGCGGTAAAAATTACCGAGCGCAATGCATTTATCAATTTAGTATTTAAAACACAAACAATCCAAGTTCAAAAAGCGAATTTGTTAAAAATACATGCTAGCTTTGCGTCCAGGTGGTAACTTGTGGCATCCATATGCGGTAGTTGCGGTATGTCTAGCTATTTGTATGAATATGCATATTTGCACAGGTTCACCGTTGAATATTAAACCACATATTTTTTTATTTTCAAAACTCCGCAACAAATAGCATAGCTATGTTTGCAAATACAAGGGCATATTGTTAATTTTATCTTCATTTAAATATCTATGACATTTGACATATTTTGCTATTGCTGCAACATGTGACAATACAAAACTATATTGAGGATTAAAAAATGGTGTTTGTCAAATTAATATGCATAGTTTTTTATAACTACGAGATGTCTGCAATAAGTCAGTCGGCTAATTAATAAATAAAATATTTGTAAGCATTAATTATAATAATTAAATCACAAAAGACACAAAAACTAAATCGTGTAACCAACAAAAAAACTGGAAATCGGAACTACTGCAATGTGTATATATATATATATATATTTATATATATACTTTTTTTTTTATTAATTTTTCATTGTGGAACAATAAATGATTGCGAATTAATGAGTATGGATGTGCGTGTGTGTGTGTGTGTGTGTGTGTGTACATGTATATTTTTGAGGGACTGTACCCGGCACTCACCTGCACGGAATGATCCAAATTATTGATGATGCGTATCACCCGGCCAGCACTGCGCTTTATCGAACCCGATGTGGTCGACAATGTGCCCAAATCCGCTTCCATTATTGAAGGCTTTCGGCTGGCGGGCTTGGAGCCCCAGCCCTGGTTTCCGGGTGAAGCGTACCACATGCCGTTCTTTTTACCGTAGCTGGCAGGCTGTGCACAGAAAGAGAAATAAACAAATAGTGAAATACGTGAATTTACGGAATTTTCACCTATATACACTGCATGTAGGTATACACATCGTTAGTACGGCGTCTTTTGTGTAAAAAATTCTCGCAAATCTGAAATTAATGAAATTGTTTTGCGGTACGGCATCAGCCATGGACAATCGTGGACAATCATTCCAGAACTGCAAGCTTGTTCCGATTACTTTTAAGCAACAAAAATTGAATTTTCCTTGCTCTGGATGTTATCTTTTGAAATACGCGTCTTTTGTTTTCAACAATCGAATGGTTTAATTAGTCTGCGGTCTGTGATGAGTTTTTATTCAGCCAAGTACCAAGTACTGTCATCCGTCCGTCTATCTGCCCGTCTGTCCGTCTGTCAGTAATTGTGCAAGCAAAATTCCCAGTTTTATAAAATTTGTTGTTAAGTACAGTTTTCCCGAAACTTTGTAAACAAAGAAAATTTAGAATGCATATTGGGGGAAAAGTTGATGCAGTCAGAATAATAAACTTGGACTCAATGGGGACGACTTAAAAAGTAATTTATATTTCAGTACCTGTGCAGAGGTTTTTTTTTATTAAAATTCATTAAGGACGGAACTTCCTAATAATATCTAAAACATAGTGTGAATGCTTGCTTATATCAGAACTAGCCTTTCACTAAGATTTCTTAACACTACTGACGGTTATTAATATTTAAATATTTATTTAGAGATGAGAAGGGTAGAAAATAATTTTTCTGCATGAAACACAGTTTAAATTTTCAAAAACTTATATTTTTTGGATCGCTTTAGGGAATATTATTTCAGCACAGGATATACTAAACGAATCAATCTAGGTAAGCCCGTCAAAGTCAATTTAATAAATGCGATTTACGTTTCCCAGCTATGCTCGCAGCAAAACAAAAAAAAAAAAACAGACTCAGTGGCTAGAACTAAACTGTTTTATTTAAATTGTTTTTGGTATGCTGGCCATGTTTTGGAGGTGAAAATTCAATTTTAATTCCGGTGAGGCTCGAAAAGCTTTTCGATTTAATTTCGTACACAATAATTTTGAAAACAGAATGCCGCAGGAGTTTAAGAAACAAAAACTCAAATTGAAATTAATGCAAATTCAGTTTAAACACATCGCATTTTGGCAGCCTCGACGAACTGCCCTGGCCCCAATTACGTAACAAATCCTGCAGAGTCTGAATACACTCTTAATAAAAAAAATACAAATATATGTTATATGTACATGCATATACATACATATATATATACTATATGTTTGTGCACAGCATGTGCAAAATCAAGGCTTTTAATTGAAATCCAACAAAAAACTAAAGTATTGGAAGGGGGAGGAATCCTGCGTTGACTTTAGGTGTGAAATGAAATTTGTTTCCATTTGTGTTTTGTGAAAAAAATGCAATTACATGACCGTATGTGTCGACAGAAAAGTATTTGCACTGACTGTGCACATAATATGCACTTTATTTTTGTTGTACGTTTAAATAAATATAATAAAGTTTGGCAAAAAAAAATGTGCATGTTATTGATCCGGGCTGAGACCGCGTAACCAAATATGTATAAATGCGTTGATCTCAGAGACTATTATCCTAGAAGTTTGAATATAAGTTCTCGCTAATTAAATGTATATATGTATACTCTTAAAGGATTTGCAGACCAAATATACTTATTTCATATCATATCAAAGAGTTGGTAAATACACAGAATAATCAACTTGAACTTAGAAATTCACACAGTAAACAAATAAGTTATTTAAAGATTTTAACAGGGTACTTCTTAAACTAAAACTTTCAATTGGTCCAATTTTATATATGTTTCGAGGACAGAGTTACATACATATCCAAATACCCTGAAGGCAAGCTAAGTCTCATACTTTAACTAGCGCACTTATGGCTAGGTTACTTAGCAAATAGCAGTTTAGCAAAAGCTTAAATTACACGCTCAATTAAACTTTGAACAACTCGAGAGTGGGAGCTGACTGGTGTAGGAAAGAAACTTCAAAGCCCTTCGTTTGAGGTGCAGCCTCGCAGAAAATTCATTGAAGCAATCGACAAGGACGAAACATCGTACAGCAAACAGAGAACCCCAAAATCAGATGCAGCTTTATGTTGGCCACTTTTACACGCTTGGAGTGAGACTCCTTTGCCATTTCTAACTAACCATTATGACAGTGATTATTATTGCTCTGGGATATTGAATTTTATTGCCGTAAACAAAAAACATGGTTAGACAAATATTGTGTAAACAAATAAGCACTCGTGCCTAAGATGTCAAGCCTCTTTTCTGTTCTACGGCTGATAAATCAACACACTCCGCCCCCTCCAAGGCTGTGAGGCTGTAGACCCGTCGGCACAAATAGTTTGTGGGTGAGAAGAGTCCTTAAAATGGCAGAAATGGCGTCATCGCATAAACTTATTATTCAATTGCCTGGCTCGGCTTTATTTATTTAAAATGTTCAAATTTCATTATTTTAATGCATACAAAATATAGCTGAGCTACACAAAAACTCGAAATAAAACAGTAAATAAAATTAGTTGACATTAGACTGGTAGTCAGGGTATTTTTTCAAATGGTAAACGTCCCACTTCAATCAAATTTAAATTCACGGTCTTCCGATTTTCAGGCCACACTAGTGTACCAGAATTAAGGCAATACAATTCTATATACAAATGTCCTCATGTGGTTGTCCACATGACTTCAAGTAAAATATTTTAAAATGAGCATACGATACGTCAAAAAGGAAAAGAGAAAAAAAAAACGAGAGGAGGAAGACAGTCGCACAGCCTGCACACGTAGACCATTAAAAAACACTTAGAAAAACAACAAAAGTCATTTAAACTTTTTGCTAACTTATTTTTGTGTGTGTGTTATTGTTGTTGTTTTTGAGCTTCACTGTTTATACATCAAATGGCAGCGGAAAAAAAATGTGAAATTAAGAGCCGTGTGCTGGGTTGGATGGGTGGCCTCATTGTTTACACTGAACACTGACCCAAGACTTGGTCGGCGATGTGAGCATCACAAAGGGCGAACTTTCCTCGCTATCCTCGTCGATGTACATTTAAGCGAAAGTTTTTCTCTGCCCGTTGATGAGTTGGTTTTGGTTGTTGTTGTTAGCTGTGAGCTGTGAGTTGCGAGCTGTGAGCTGTGTGAGTTGGATGCTGTTGAGCCCTTTGGGTGTGGCTGTTTGCTCACTTTAGTTGGCTTTTTGCTTTTAATTCACTTGCAGTTGCAGTTTTTCTTGACAAGAACAACAACATCAGCAGCAGCAGCAGCAGCAGTAGCAGTAGCAGGAACACTATACAGCATTAAGTTAATAATAAATAAACGTAGTTTTCTCGCAAACTCGAGTCGAGCAAAGTATTATAGTTCAGTATTATAGTCTAGCTTCAATGCGAGTTGCTGCGTCTCACTGCGTTTTGCCGTTTTTAAAGTGTGTTAATTGAAACAACTTAAATGTAATAGCACTTTAAATTAGTTGACTGTTTGCCGAGGCCTTGACAGACGTGCCGCGCGCACTCGGTTCAAGGCAGTTCGCGATTATGCAACACCGGATGCCGCCTAGTCCACCATAGGAACACTACTCCCAGCTAGCCGGGGACACATTAGTTGGCCACCAGCGTGAATAGGCGCGCGAATTAAGTTAACATTAACAACAACTTTTGTTTTTGTCCGGCTGCGTATTTCGCTTTGGTTTCCTTGGCGTTCGCTTAACGACTGCAGCTAAGTGGCTCAAATTCAAAAATCGAAAGGCTCACATTGTGTTTGCAAACGACAATCGAAGCCACGCCATGCTACGTCATGCTACGCTACGTTACAGTACTGTTACGTTACGCTATCCCCAGTCAACTGACCAAGTATATATATGCATATATATATATATATGTACAAGACGATAGCGTGTACGGCACACGTGCTGTTTACATAAACCATATTTAAATTGCCGACTCCACACTCAACTGTGTGTTCCATGGCGAGCCCACTTTGCACACTCGCACACTTCGTCACTTTCACACACACACACATCCATTGTGGCACATCGTGCCCGCATCCACCTTGATTTACATGTATTTATTTATTGTTTAGCCAAATCACCAGCACCGATCTCCTCGAGCCGTGAACATTAGCTGCCATTTTGTACATTGTCCGTTGTCCGTTGTCCGTTGTCCCTACCAGAAATGGTGGTAGTAATTGCATTTGTGTTTGTGTTGTCAATAGTGGCGTAGTACCGCCACTCGACGCTGTGTGGCGCTATGCACAAGTCAACAATGATGAGATTCGCGCCAAAAACAAATTTCACAGACATTCGGTGAGCATACATTGTAATTGGCTTAAATAAGATTATATCACCTGTTCGATATGCTGAGGGACAGCTACATCAACTACTTATATATAACAGAAAGAATATAACAACTAAATCAAGCATTGGTATATGATTTTGTATTGCTTGCAGACTAGTTTATATTACAACTTTCACTTGCGAGAGAAGAGTCGTGGCCGAAGTTGATACTAGTTCAATGTTCGACTTCGGGTGTGCTTACGAGCGACCAGCAGTGGCAACACTTCTTGGTTTTTCCCACTCGCAAAGCCATTGAATTAAGCACTTTCGCTCTTGCCTTTGGCTTTCTATTGGTATTGGTGTCTTGCTGTTGTTGTTCGAGCAGACGTCGGTAAGGGGAAGAGTATTGATATTGGTCAGGGTATGGCTATTGCTATTGCTATAGCTGTAGCTGTAGTTGTAGCCGTAGACGTAGCTATAGCTATTGCCATAGCCATTGGCGTTGATATTGGTATTCGGATTCGTATAGGTATTGGTATTGGTATTCAGTATGCATATCAAGCAATTTCGCCATGAATGTGTTGTACCGACAGCAACTGCTGCTGCTGCTGCTGCTGATGGCCTCTTTCTCCCTTTCGCCCATTCGCGAGTTGGTGTAATAGTTTAGCTTATTGCTTTTCACTTTGAAGTGGCTTATATGGATAT